ACAGAGGTGAAAGTTTTTCAATCACAGAACATCACACTGCTGCTATTCCTTCATATGGAAAACTGGGGATCTAGTTATAAAAGTACCAAAATCTACTTGTACAGCAAAAGACCATTAGTGGGGCTTTAGTTATTTTAGTACTGAAGTGCTCTGGCTTCACTGCAGTTTTTACTTTACATGGGCTATTTATCAAGGTTTTATTTATCTTTAATGCAAATACAACCCTTATAGGACCCTCCCAACTCAAGATTTTCTATGATTCCATGAAGGACCATCTGCAATGCTCTGACATCTGTATCACATCATAACTCTCTTAATTCTAGACAGAGTTGACGAAAACATTACCTTAATGAAGTAAATATTTCAGTATAAAATTTTCGTGTAAACTAGGCTTGGAAAAGTGTTGGGATACATCCAAACAAAAGCTTCTTAATGCTGAGCTAAGGACAACAGCCCATACATTCTATTGACACAAGCCATAAGCAGCCAGAAAGCAAGCAGTTAAGGCAACAGCTCACTCACCAGTTCCTCTTGCTAGCTGTACCTACTTCCTTTCCATCACTTAAAGTTCTCATATCATTAAACTCATGCTAAGCACCCAAAGCACACTGGCATCTGGCTGCACATTTGTTACATCAGCACACACATCCTCATTTCGTTTCCCTAATTCCCGTATTAAAATTCAGTATAAGATTCAGACAAATAATTAAATCCACAGACTACCTACTCTCATATTTTCTAACCAGCTCAAGGAAACCAAGCATGTCTCACAGCAGACACCTGCAGCCTGGGGAGAATTCCTTGCTGCCATATACCAGCACCAAACCACAAAATATCATACATAGCATTTGGAAACCACCTTGAGCACATGGTGATCATCAGACCATGTCATAAGATCGTCAGACAACTGGATCTGAGCTCTAGGCTGACGCTGCTTACTCAGTGGGGATGGATTGTGGTTGGGGGATTAAAGGAACTGAGGTTTAGAAGGGGGAACTGATAATTGGTGTGTAGAAAAGCAGAGTGACTCATGTGCTAAACCTGGTGCTTTCTACAGAATAAACCATGCAGTGGAGGAAAACAGTGATTTGTGAATGGTTGTTGTCTTTCATTCATATGGGTATAAGTAACACATGACATTACTTGTTAGGAGCACTGAAAAACCTAGAGGTGACTGGCACCGTCCCAAGCAAGGCAGATTTTTCATTCTTATAAAATAATCTACTTGGAATGTAAAGTGTCATCCTCACAGTTTTGGTGTGCACCTGAAAGACAACCTTGATAACTCCCAGTTTAACATTGCAAAACCAAGAGACTGAGTGAAGGAAATGGTGAAGTGGAGGCTGCCCCTCCAACTCTGCTTTGCTGCCTTCCCTTCCTCCATAATGTGCACAGTTGGTGTCTGGTCTTGTCCAACAGAACTGCATCAAGATGAACAACAGGGCCCAGCTTTTTGGGACTTGTTCAGTATTGTAAATGCAGGTGAACCCAACGGGAAGAAATGACCATGTCTGACTCAATTCAGAAGGCTGAATGATTTCTTTATTATAACTATGCTAAAATACATTAATATGCTATATAAAAAGGAAGATACTAAAACTACATACTGCTTTCTCTGACTCTAACACAACTCGTGACCCTCTCTGAGAGCCCAGCCCCAGGTGGGTTGGATTGGCCATCAGGCTCAAACAATCCTCACCAGAATCCAACCAAGCACTAACCCCAGGTAAACAATTCTCCAAACACATTCCACATAGGAAAAACAAGGAGCAGAAATAGATATTGTTTTCTCTTTCATTTCTCTCTGTGCACCTCTATGAAAAATCCTGAGAGGGAGAGAAATGTGCTTGCTGCTGTTCAGTCTTAGTCCTTCACTGCTGCACACCTTCCAGGCCTGTCATGAAGACAATTTCATTGTGGGTTTTCCAGGGATATGTATCACCAGATCATCCTGCATCTGCATGCCATGACATTCCACCAGGAGGGAGAAGACCCTCAGAGCTGTGGGTGCACAGGTATGACTGTGGAAGTATGAAGATGGGAGACAAAAGTCATGGCAGCACCCAGGTTTTGTCAACTCTCCTCACAATCCTCCTGGACAGGACCAATGTTACATCCCTGCCTGGACCAAAATTCCTTTCCCTGCAGCCCTGTTCTTCCACCACTGCACATCTTGTACCCCCCACAGAAAGAGAGGCAAGACTCTTCCAGACAAATCTCCCCTGTTCCTATAGACACTTCCACTCTGTGCCTTGATCAAGAAAAGAACTTTAGATAGGGAAAATCACCAAGCATCTTTGAGATTTTTACTGTGACTAGAAATGAAGCAGAAAGGGTCAAGTGGCAGAGCTCCCCAACCATACAACCCAAAGGAAGGCTGAGAACATCTCTCTGTCCCTCCTGTCCCCACTGTTAGCAGTGTGTGATCGTTACAAAGGCCCGGATGATGGAAGCCTCAGGTGGAAGGTGACACCCTCCAAAGATCATTAACTCACAAAACCTGACAGAATAGAGGTAATCCTGAAAAGGGAAACAGTTTTTTTCAAAAGGCACTGAACTCAAACTCACAGCTCCTCATCTTCCAAACTTCCCAAGTGTCAAGTCACCCTTGGCTCTGGCTGTTTCAAGACCGCATGAGTCACATCCTTGCTAACTGGAAGCCTTAAATTGAATTTGTTCAGCATTCTTTATGATGGAAGGAAGTTATTTAGCAATGATAGAAAATGGAAAGCACAGGTCTTGTTTTAATTTTAAACCCATGTACTTCACTGTGTCTTAACTGGCTTGAAGGAAATGCATTTACCATGGTAGTGGCATGATTTTTTTTGCTAACCTGAATAATCTGGATAATAGCAAGAAATGCACTTTGTCTGCAATGCAGCTACAGTTGTCACAGGTTGTAGTCACAGGTTATAAAACTGAACCTTTCATTGGTACTTGATTTCAAAAACAGGCTTCTAAGCTTTTGAACTTCTAAAACCATCTTTAAAATAATTGTATAAAACTTGTTTTTATAGTGTGATAGCTACAACAGGACCTAACATGCAGACCACTTCAACCAGAACACAAACCATATTGTCTATGTGGAAAATACAGGATCAGTATGATAAATGCTTTATTAAAAAAGCCTAATTTCAGCTATTTAGTCAGCAGAGCTCCACTGTAACTAGAGAAAAACTCAGCATGTCAAAATTGGAGACTTACTGAATGTGAAAATAATTTTCCACTATTATGCTCTTGATAAAACAAAATCAAGAGATGGATGTTAGATACAGCAGTTACCTCTTAGCAGGTTGTTTCAGCTTCCTTTACTCTTTTCAACACCTGGATGATTTTCTGCATTATGTTGACTATGCTACATTTTAATTTAACTTACCTATGAATATTTGTGGAAAATTCAATTTCCCTACCTTCCTGCCTTTGAATCCTGCTTCTCCAAATATACTTCTTTTTAAAATTAATTTTCAAGGCACACTTTTTCATCCTTGGCACTTCTGTATCAGTTTTAGTCATTTGTATTGTGATACAATTTCTCTGAGTTCTTGCTCTCAGGCACACGAGCATGCATGCAGGCAAACATGTTAATACAAAGCTGTTATTTTTTACTTTCACCATAACTAAAAACAGGAGGAAAATTTGATTGCACATAGCTACAGTCCAAGTGGAATATAAATCTTTGACTTAAATTAATTTGGGATGGTTTAAGAATTTCATATTTATCCAGGCTTGTAGGCTAAAAACCTATAAAAAAATTAAAAAATTTAAAAATTGGCATCTGCACATCTGTAAAATATTTCTTGAATTCTTCTATACTGGTCAGCACCTACAGGTTAGGAAAAACATACTCCCAGGCTATTGCCACAAATGAGGCCCAGCTTTCCTTCTCCACCTGACTGTGGTGTCCCTTAGGTTTTTCTCCCAGCATATGGTCTGTAATTCTTCTGATATCTAAAGCATAGTGACTGCACTTAAATAGAAAATTTCAAGGTAAACACAGTTATTTGTAAAGTAAAGGTCTGCTGTCTGATCCATTTGCATCCAACGCCAGTCCGTCAATAAACTAATTTTATGTACTTTATATGGTTTTCAATGAATTCACTGCAATCATTCGTCCCACTGGACGATGTTTTCAAGGCTAGATGGAAAAACATTTGAGTAAAATGACAGACTATTTCAAAATGAGAATTCTCTTGTTCGAATCACATAAACACAGGCAAAGAAAAGGACATTCTAGTTTCTGTGGTGTTCTGTGCTCAAAGCAAAGCTCGGATTTCTCTTCAAGTTATGTTTCCCAACAGTGCAAAACCCAGACAAGACTTTTCCTGCACTTCCAGGCCCAATATTTCAAGTGGTTTTTATTAACTCTGTTTTCTTTCTTCAACTTCCACGAAGTACAGTGAAAATTGGATCCTCAGCTAATAAGAGGAATAAATACAGAGTTACACTGCTCGGGGAGCATTCCAGGAAGCCCATGCCTCAAGAGTGGTGATTCCCAGGTTCAGCAGGAAGCCAAATTTGGATGCTGACACTGCCCTGGTGGCTCACGAGAAATGGAAATAAGGTTGTCCTCTCCTGGTACCTTTTCATGCTCTCCTGCTGCAGTGCCAGGTGCTGGAGTAACACAGAGCCAGTTTTCCCATTTGTGCTGCAGGGAATACTGTAAGCAGTTAGCACAGATAAATTAAAGGCAGCTTGTAATTCTTTCTTCGTCCCCTTTGCTGCCAGGAATTGTTCTGATTAACATGAAGTTCAATTTTCGTGGTAAATTAATGATAATAATCAAAGCTAAAGTCCCGTGCAAATCTTAAGTTCATTGTTTTCAATTGCTAAGACACATTTCAATACTAAGAACACATTAAGTTGAATTCTAAGCTCGTGAAGATGTAACAAGCTGCATCTGACAAGCAGAGTTTAAAATACAAGGTGATTTAAGAACATTCAAAAATAAAAGGGCTTTTCTACATCCACTTTTAATGAAAAAACTACTCTATGAATAAAAATGGAAGTATAACAAAGATTTTTAATTTGATCTAAGAAAATACAGGGATAAATAGAGCAAGTAAAACTGACATTTTACTTCCCAGTTATTTGTGTGTCACAGAACTACCATCCCTACTTACAGTCAGTTGTGTTTCAAAATAGACCAGAAAACAAGAACAAAAGATCCTCACAATAATTTTAGTGACATAGTCTCAGTTGTAACTATGATGAAACTATGATTCTTATATTAATTTTTCATTTCTTGCATGCCAAAAAGTATAATAAAAAGACACTCAAGTAATCTTTACACTTAAGGAAGGGAAGTTTGATCTCATCTGTTTCCTTTTAATTTTATAACTTGTAAAGTATCACTCTCAGTGCATTTGTTTGATAAAAAATTGATTTTGTTACTTCAATTTTTAATGTGCAGTTTTTCAGATTTTATACAACAGTGTGAAGTTGACATGAAGTATAGCTTTTACTAGTGAGGACATCTGCTCCAAGATAACTTCCAAACACTTTACGCATGACGAAAATAATTTAAAAAGAATTTACCAAACTAAAATTAACATACATATATTCCATATATTAACATTGTCCCAGTCCTTAGTATGATCCAAATTTCTAACACAGAGACTATTTATATAATTTTCTAGTGTGTCCATATCTTCTTAAATTGGAAGAAATATGTTTAGAAAAGAAACCTGATCCACTAGAACATATAATGGGGATAGATTAACTCCAATTATGTTACTTGAAATAAAACATCCATTATATAATGGATGAAATATCCATTATATTAAGCTACTGGGTGGCAAGCATTAAATAAAATTCAGACTTCTACATACTCTGCATCTGTAGTAAAGTGTTGTAACATATTAAACAAATCTTTATTTTAAAATCTCTTTCCAGCACAGGATCATTCCTGTATGAACTGCCTCACACGAGCTAGTTGGGAGTTATGAGGAGCCCTGTCTTTTTTGGTACTGTATCCTGAGTTTTTCCAGCTGCTCCACGCACTGTGTCTGGGCCAGCTTCAGTGTTCGGTTCTCCTCTGTCAGCTCTGCATACTCCTTAGCCAGCCGAGCTGCATCCATGCTTTCTTTTTCCACTTGTTCCAGTCTGGCAATCAGCTCCTTTCTGATGATTATGAAAAAAAAAAACCCAAATATTAAAAATGGCAGTAGGCAAAAAAATCTGTTGTCCTGTGTTAGGACAAAGATGGGCTGTGTGTTGTTAACTAACTTTTTATTACTTGAACTTGTGTGAAACAAGGACCTAGAAAATTAATTTTTTTAGAGTGCTGGTTTTTTTTCCCTTTAAAAGACTAAGCTTCCAAAATCTCAGACCAAGCTTGAAAAATGCTTCAGCAGAAGAGAAGGCTTTGGGGAGAACTTAGAGTCCCTTCCAGTACCAAAAGGGGATCCAACAGAGCTGGAGAGGGACTCCTGACACAGGTGACAAGGCAAGGGAATGGCTTCAAACTGAAAGAGAGCAGGAAATGGGATATTGGGAAGAAATTCTTCCTTGTGAGGGTGGCAAGGCCTTGGCACAGGTTGCCCAGAAAACCTGTGGCTGCCCCATCCCTGGAAGTGTTCAAGGCCAGGTTGGATGGGGTTTGGAGCAACCTGGTTTAGTGCAAGGTGTCCCTACCTGTGGCAGGGGATTGGAACTGGATGAGTGTTAAGGTCCCTTCCAATCAAAACTATTCTATTGATTGTAGGATTTTGTGATCTCTAACTTCATCAAGAATTGAGCACACAGTTCACGGTGGAGAATCAAGTTCCTAGAGATGACTAGCTAATACTTTGCCAGAAGAATAACTATTTTTCCCTTGAATACCAGGCATCACTGAAAGAGAGTGAGGTGTTTTTGCTTGGTTGGTTAGATTTATCAGTAAGTTCTGTGAAGTGTGCCTGGTTTCCTTTTCTCTTCTACAAACAAATCCAGTAAGTAGTAGGCACTGAATCTGAGCTATATATATTGTTTCTATAATGTGTTTCGATTCAGATCTTAGCCCTATTGCTGAGGAAGAGCTGCAAACCTGACCCCTCCTGGTCCTCTTAAGTACAGACACAAAAGGATTTAAACTGTGACTTCTTCTGGATGGAGTCACACAGTGCCCTATATTCCCAGAGCTGGCCAGGAGCTGGAGTTTCCTGTATAGTATCAACTGAAATTACCTCAGCACAAGTTAAGATAAAAGAGGTTTTAAAACACACTGGAGGCATGAGTAACTCACAGAGTATCTAATTGCTCTCCTCTTAGTCACTCACCAGGCTAGCCTGGCCTCTGGGTTTCCTTTTCCCTTTAAGTAAAATACTCACCCATTACAGGAAGTCTCTTCTAAAAGGTTCTTTTGATCATTCTGTCTCAGAGATTAGTTAATCTTTTAACTGTTCATAGCCCTGTGACTTTATTTCTCAGTCATGTCAAAACAGTGCTCGGAGATCATCAGTGGGAAGTTGTTAATGCCTTCAGAGTGGATAGATTTCACCATCCACACAGTGGACAGTCCTTAAAGGAGCCCACTTGTCAGGCTAGACCAGTGCTTTCAGACAGGAAATTCCTATAAATCAGCAATTTTATCCCCTCAGGTCAGAGTATTAACGAAAAGATAACATTTCTGTGTTTGCTGATCACTGATGTTACTCGTAGCTGAAAACCTGTAACAAGTTTTCAAGCAAAACTGTAAATCTGGCTTCTGCACAACACTTCTGTGTGGCCTTCATTTAGGTTCAGGTTAACCTTCCTCTGTCTTTACTGCAGATTTCAGTGATAGCAGAGTTTGCCCATGGTTTGGTTGACTGTTTACAGTCACAGTTACTGCAGTTCAAGGAGTCACAAATTAGAACAGACCCATGGTACTGCCATTTCTACCAGCTGTGCTTCCCATAGATTAAATAAAAACAAAAATTAAAAAAAAAAAAAAAAAAAAAAAAAAAAAAAAAAAAGAGAAGAGTTAAAGAAAAAAAAAAAAGAGAGAAGAGTTAGCTGCTGTTACAGAATTTTTAAATCAGCCAAAGAGGCAGCATATAGGCATCCTCCTATAAGACAGCTTTGTTTTATACTATGGAGGTAAGGCAGAGCAGCTATGCTGCAGCAAAGCCTCTTCTTTTTCCTTTCACCAGGTGACAGGTTCATTCAATGAGGCCTTTGACAGGAAACTTCAAGAGAGCATTTTTACCCAGTAGAATTCTGTTTACATTTAACACAATAGAGCTGTACAAGTTTTAAACACAGCAAGCCACTAACAGGTTCATTTCTCTGTGCCTGGGCTGCTCTAGATCAACCAGTATTTCTATTTTTCATAGAAATCAAGATAATCTTGCTAGACAGCTCCAATTCATGGGCCTGAGGCCATGAAGGAGTGATTTCACATGAGAAATACATTCAGGGAAAATGAGGTTCTACAGCTCCAGATGCTTGGGGGTTTTTGTTTGTTTGTTTTTGTTTCTCCAGTTTCCCTGGACTTCCTATGGAAGATTCTTATCTCTGAAGACCAAATGAGAACTTATGCAATATTTCTTTGCAATTATTCTCCCATATAATGTTGGACTGAAGGGCTAAATCAAGCTCTTTCAAATTACAGACTGTTAAATTGGAAACGTCCAAACAAATGAATTCAGAATCATTCTTCCTTACTTTCCTTACATTCATCAGCTTTTGAAAGGGAGATGCAGTGAGCATACTATTAGGTAATCAGCATCTTAAAAGCAGGTAAACCTTTTCTGTGGGAACTTTCAGGACTTGAAAAGGAATAAAGGAATGATACTGACTGTCCTGGGCGTGAGCCAGGAGAGGCACAGACAGACAAGGTGCAAACTCAGGCAGCTCCAGTAATGAAGGTCAGCTCTGATTCTGTGTCATTCTGTGCAGGCATGGCTTTCATGCTGCTCTCCAGCAATATTCAAGCAGCATAGATAACTGCTCTCCCCCCTCCCCAGGATTTAGATTTGCTAGCAAACAAACTATAAATGCATTAAAGTCAAAATATACTCATTGCTGTAGCCCACACTTTCCTACTCAAACTATTCTGTCATTCTATAGCCTTTTATGTGTTGGCATCTGAGACGTATTTTCATTTGCATTAAAGCAGACTTTAATGGTGTTGCTTTTAAATTAATTAGACTATTCATTAGTCTACTATTAAGTAGACTTATGCAAGGACAATCTCCTCAAGACAGCAGTTACCTTGCAGGGTCTCATCATTCCCCCTGATAGGAAAGCCATGCCAAATGTGGGAAGAGAAAATGACCTTATGGCCACCAGTACACTCCATCTGTTGGAGAAGATGCTGTACTGCCACAGATGCATGAACCTGAATACCTTGTTCACAGTGGGGAAAAGGCAAATCCGAGTCTTTGTGTTCTGGAAACTGTTTTCCTTGTGTCCAGTTCATCTCTAAATACACTTATCTACAGACAGATTTATCTGCTTAGTCTGTCACTTTTCTTTGTATTTATTCCTTGTGAATAAATACAGTGAGAGTGTTGAGGAACTCTGTATGTTTAGTCATTAAGGCCAGAACAAGAGAAATAATTTCCTCCCTCACAGAAAGCAGTTTCCTTGCACTGAAGTAGTAAAATTGCCCACTTCTGAGTCAGCAGAACCTACTTAGTCCCTTCCCATCAGGATCAACACCTGTTTTTGGGATAGGGTGATGTTTCAGGCTAATACTGTCAGCCTGCCACAGATCTAAAATTAGAGCACCAGGGAATTGCTAAATGTTATGAATGGTGTAGTTTATGAAGCTCACCAAAGGATGAGGACAGTAACTAACATTTACATCTGATCTAATCTAAGATTTGAACTTAGCTTTCAGAGGTTAAAGAACACCATGCTAAGCTCTTTCATCATCTAGACTTTGTTATGGATGCTTAATAAATAGATGTAGCACTGAGTAATCTGTGTTTTCTGTTAATGGTTACCCCAAGTTTAAATATTAACAGTATTGATAATGTAGTTTCCAAACTAGTGCTGAGGTACTTAAAGCTTGGAGACAATCTGTAATGTGTACTTGAAGTGTTCTTTTTGTGAGAGGGATTTGGGAGGCAACATTAGTGATTTGCATCATAAACACATAAACCACAAGCAGGAGAAAAACATAGCACTGTCATAGGGAAATTATTTCTCTTGTTCTGGCCTTAATGAAGAGAACAGAGCTCCTCAACACTCTATCTGGTATTTATTAACATTCTCACTGTATTTATTCACAAGGAATAAATACAAAGAAAAATGACAGACTAAGCAGATAAATCTGTCTGGAGATAAGTGTATTTAGAGATGAACTGGACACAAGGAAAACAGTTTCCAGAACACAAAGACTCGGATTTGCCTTTTCCCCACTGTGAACAAGGTATTCAGGTTCATGCATCTGTGGCAGTACAGCATCTTCTCCAACAGATGGAGTGTACTGGTGGCCATAAGGTCATTTTCTCTTCCCACATTTGGCATGGCTTTCCTATCAGGGGGAATGATGAGGCCCTGCAAGGTAACTGCTGTCTTGAGGAGATTGTCCTTGCATAAGACTACTTAATAGTAGACTAATGAATAGTCTAATTAATTTAAAAGCAACACCATTAAAGTCTGCTTTAATGCAAATGAAAATACGTCTCAGATGCCAACACATAAAAGGCTATAGAATGACAGAATAGTTTGAGTTGGAAAGGACCTTCCAAAGGCAAGGACACTTCCTCTAGAAAAGGACGTCTCTCTTCGTATTAGAAAAGCTGTAATTTAATTTCTGGTATTTGGCAAGGAACATATATTTTGCATACACGTGAGATGATGAAAAAACTGGTCTAGAACAGGAAAATAATTGAGCTAAAATGTTGTCTTTAACGTTTACACCAATCTTTTTCTGAAGTACTTAGAGTGTCTTCACAGTGTTGGGAAAGACACTCAAAAAACAGTGTACCTGGAGACATCCTCTAGATTAAAAAGCACAGAAACAGCTAAAACATATGAAAGGCTCCCACAAAATTCAGCAGTCACCTCCACGGCGTGTCATTTGCCAAGAGAGCCACAGTGATTTTATCATCAATAGCAGGACCAGGGCAGTGACTGTCCCACCGTGCTGGGCACTGCTGAGCTGGACTTGAGTCCTGAGCCCAGTTCTGGTCCTCTCACTACCAGAG